CATCATCATAAAGTTACTCTTGCAGAGAGACAGGGATCCATAGTTTCAATAAGTTGATATGCCCATTTTGCTGAATCTCCTCTTGTAAAAGGGAAATTATGGTTTTAATTTTAACATCATCATTAACATAAGTCCTTGGGCGCAGGGTGAACATTAGTTTAAACTCATGAATAAATACTCTATAAGAAGGTCGATCCCCAGAATATTTAGCAGGAGGAAATACTGAAGGAGGAATTCTAAGACAATATGGAGCAATCCTGACACCTGGTGTCCCGTGAGGCTTTTCTCTCTTCCTGCGTGCGAGGGTGCTCCCTAGTGCTCTCTGTAGTGATGCCAGGGCCTGAGTGACGCCAAATTCCGGCTCACGGCATCATTAAACAGCGCGCGAGGGAGCAGAGAGGAACTGCAGGTATATTGCTGCTCCCTCGCACGTAACCTACAATGCTTCCGCGGGCGTATTTGTCGAGCCCTGTCTTACAAGACCTGTCTATGATGTAAAATAGCAGACTTCCCCATCTTCCTCAAACAAGTTACACAGTCATGTTTAGACTTCTGTTATATGTTTCATGAAAATAAATCATTTAAAAATGTATCCAAAAATATTACATTGTTTGTAAAGCTTATTCAACAGTATTAAAGGAACACTATAGTCTCCAGAATAACTACAGCTTAATGCAGTTGTTCTGGTGGGTATAATCTATTCCTGTGGGCTTTTTTTGCAGTAAACACTGCCTTTTCAGGGAAAATACAGTGTTTACATTACAGCCTATGGACACCTCCAGTGGTCACTCCTAATATGGCTACTAGAGGTGCTTCCTGAGGCAGTGCTGTATAGTATGAAGAACTGACATTCAGTGTATCCACCCTCTGCATGGAGGCACTGAACTTTCCTCATAAAGATGCATTGATTCAATGCCTCTCTATGAGGAAATTTTAATTGGCCAGGGTGGTGTTTTACTCTGTCCCCAGCCCACCTCCTTAGCTGAGATCAATAGAATTGACAATCTCAGCTTTACTATGGGAAAGTATTGCGATTAGCCGAGATCCTCACTTCTGAGATGTCAGCTAAGCAGGCAGATCAGAGCCACCACCAGCAGACTGGAATAAAGGTAAGATTTTACTATTTTTAGGGGTACAGGTGGACTATATAGTTTAACACTATAGGGTCAAGAATAGATGTTTGTGTTCCTGTCCCTATGTCTCTTTAAATTGAGGTCTCTGTGTTTTTTTTCACCCCTCAGATAAGAATAAGATCTTAAATTAGGTTTTGGTCTCTGATCCAGACGTTCTTCAGTTAGCAGTCCCATCATGTGGGGATGATATACTTTTTGATTCAGGAGCCATAATCCACAGGCTCCTATATTGTGGGTTCTCTAGATGAAAATGTCTTCCTACCCTGTCTTAGCTTGTTACATCCCATTTGGGTTAACTGCAGTTTGAACGTATGGAAAAATCTACATTCTAGTTACCATAAATGTAATTTTCCAAATGGCAGTATTTTCCCCTTCCTTTCTCCTACTGATCAAAAATAAAATGTATCCTTTGTAAACTTGTAATTTTTTTTTTTAATTCTTTATTTCTTTGTGTGCAAGGTTTCACAGTTAAGCCGTGGTGCCACAATAGCATTCACGTGCACATTTTCAACATACATTTCACATATGGCACATATAAGATCTGCACAATTTTAATATAATGGTTATGGTAAGATATTTAAGCATGTGGTGCTCCCGCTATATTTTCAGTTTAATAAATTGGAACATAAAAACAGGCATAGTTTAGGATTACGTTTTGTCCCACTGAAGTTTGCACGACATATAGTTAACGATATACAGGCTTTAATCATCTGAGTGTGCGATCTCTGGTGTGTTGTTTGGGCAAAGTAGTTTAACACTAGCTTGGTCTACCTTGGGCGCCACCGTGGTGTGTGTGGAGTTCTGTGGGGTTGGTCTGCCTTCGCTCCACTGGACGGGTCTGCCTGGCTAATATCAGGTGAGTTTGTCAAGGCTTGTGTGCATAGTAGTTGTCTGCTGTAGTATGTGTCTGCCTTGAGTAATGTCCTGTGTTGCGTGTATGTGCTGCTCTGCCTACTGTTTGTGTTGGTTGGTTGCTATATAAGTCCTAGTGTGTGTGGGTCCATGAGTACCGTCAGATTCAGTGTGTACAGGACAGAAGCAGCGTTTTAGTGTCCACTTTAGAGTCCAGAAACAGCGTCCATTGTTTGCCGGTGCCTAGTCTCGTTAGTGGGCATATAAGGCCGCAGGGGACCCGGTAGCAGAGTCCAGTTATGCTTTTCTCAGAGCCTTGGGCACTCCTAGAGGCCTGCTTCTGCGGCTCATGGTGTAAGTACTTCCTGTGAAGGCCGCGGTCCTCCCTGTGTAGGGGCTGTCGTGGATCTCGATGCGGAGTGTCCCCCTGTGTTGTTGGGTCCGCCGTTTCTGAGGTTGACGTTTGTGGCTGGAGTTTCTGGGCAGCTGCAGTCTGAGAGGGCTCATGTGGTAAAATTGCGTGGTTCATGGCTACAGGTGCCCGGGGAGATTTCCCTCGTTTCCCGCCCTTTGTTTTGCGGCTTGCGAGTACTTGCCGGTGTTTGTTGCCACTTAGGGTATGTTGCTGTCCCGTCGTGGGGGCTTGTGTGGTCCGCCAGCTGGCTCTGCCGTTTGGTGTGCCCTGTAGTACTTGGTGGATCCTTCTCTGTTTGTCCTCGTTGTTGCGGGCTGTCCGCCATTTTGGAGCGCTCCGTCTGGTCTGTGCTTTGCGGCCCGGTTTGCATTTGGGCTCAGCAGACATCTTTGGTGGTCGCCCGTGAGGACCGGGATAACCCCCGACGGGGAGCGGCTGTCTCTCCCCGGCTCAAGCTCGCATAGGCCCCAGGCCTTGGTCGGGATACTGCGGTGCCATACCATGGCATGAGTGGCATGAGTGGACCATGTGTGTCCTCATCTTGTGAGCAGTTTGGTTGCCAATTCGGGTAGGTGGCTGCTCGTGGCACTGAGTTGGCTCCGATTCTCTGACCTGGATCCTGGAGCTCAGACGAAACACGTCTGATCTGTTCAGCGGTCAGGCTCCGCCCCCCTGTTAACTTGTAATTTATTGGGGAGCTCAGTTTGGTGTTTCTCTTTAGAAGGCAAGAAGGGGAGGACACTCGTGGGATGGAGGGGTGTTTTTCTAGTTTGCAAAATCTAAACAATGTTGGAGAAAGTATTTTAAAATTGTTATACATAATAGCATATTGGTCAGAATAAAAGAGGCATTTCTAGCAGTACAGCTACTGAAAATGACTTCAGAGTGTAAAAACGTCATAATTTATGCATAATGCCCATATACAGTAAATCCTGTTAAATCATATACTTCTAAAATAAAGGTATTTAAAGGTATTTAAAAATTATTTAGCAATCTTTATCAATCTCTGGAATTGTAATGTAATATTAACAGTGACATAGTGAAAGTCCCTCTCCTCCCCGACTGTATGAATGATATGACCTTTTGAAACTTCCTTCCTTTAGAGAAGTACATGCCACCAAATATATAAAGCAATAATTAATTTCTATATAAACTTTGCATTTATTTCCTCGGGAGAGAAAATGTAGTGGATATTATAGGACTGGTTAAAAATAAGTTTTCTTGTTCTGATTTATCTAAACCCAGATTAACTATAGATATGTCTTCACATTTCAGATAATGAGTATTATAAAAGTACTGTGCTCCCATCACCTTTTTTGATGTGTGTTCACCCTGTTACGTATAGACTTAGCACTCATTCATAGATCCAAAACAAAACTTGTATAATGTCGAGATTATGAATTTAAAAAAAACCTCTGCTTTATTATACATTCTTTAAGCTCATAATGATACTAATATGTAGCTTATTGCAAGAGGTCACAGGCGTATAATCTCTTTTTGCTGGAGGGCACAGACGCTATGTCTTTGAAAGTACCATTATGTTAACTGATGTTTAATGAGAAAAAACCCATAAACCCAGTAATTGCAACTGTATATCCCATAATCAGATCTAGCTCTAATGTGTAATTTTAGATGCTATTGATTTTTGAGAATCTAATTATTCTAGTTATTGCATATAATAATAAAACTACTACTACACTGTAAATGTTATAAGTGTATACTTATTAAATATGAAGCTGCCTTTTCTAGTTTTAAAAAATTCACAGAGTTATTCCTCAAGTGTGAATTGTTTGGACTTCAAAGTGAATTTGGAGTGAATTTTAAATTTAAGGCCAAAATAGCAAAATTAGACAAAATCTCAGGTATGCTTTGAGTTCATATACTTTAACCTTAAATTAGAAATTTACTTTAAATTCCTGTCCATTCTCACTCCAGAAAATAGTTTCTATAATAATGATAAAGACATCTAATGCTCTGATTTTGCAGAAATAATCAGTTTTAGACATTATGAAGGAAATTTTCAAATTATCCTGATATGAAAAGTGGTGCATAAAAGTCATTAAAGTATCCTATGCACAACTATCCAGAAAACACTTAATACATTTCTCTATATTTAAAAGAACGTTATAATGTTAAGAATACAAATATGTATTCCTAACTCTATAGAGCTAGCCTACTTGTTCAGATTCAGCCCTCCAACCCCAAGAATGAATTAAAAAAGGAAGTTTAACTCACTTTAACCCCTTCGCCACAGTGGCCTCCTCGGCTGAGACCCTCAATCTCCAGAGGAAACTCTCTCAGGTGTACATGCATACATATTCTCCCAGTGTTTAAACCTGAAACTGGTACACTAGTAATATATTAACTCTAACTGCTGTAAGGGGCTCAAGAAACAGCAAAGTAAAGTGTTACTCCAACAAAGAAACTGGTTTCAATAAAGCATAATATAAATAAAAAACAAAAAACAAAAAAAAAAACACTCAAACTTCGCTTCATTCCAGTGATGAGGCCAGGTTTTCACTGAAGACCGAAAATCCTTGGTTGACATCACTACACCTTTTACAAGGGAAAAGAGATTAGGGAGACATGGACGGCATAGAGGGGGGAGGGTCGTTTACTGTCTAGAGACAGATCACATTTCTGCACAGAATTGCAATCAGCCAATGTAGATCTTTGTTCTGGATTGGCTAATGATACTACCAGAGGTGGAGTCACCCCTCCCGTAAATAAGGTGTTGATCTCTGTATGTGTAGCGTACCCATACAAATTCCAGCCACCATGACCACTTCAAAATAATAAAATGCTCATGGTTCTTGGAGTAACCCTTGAAATCTGCCTCAAGAAGGAATAAGCCCTGAGAAGCCATTTTCTTTGTAGGACATTCATCAAAGTATTATCCTGTCAATTATTTTTGCTCTAATATTGTAACTAAAATACTTTTCATACTTAGTTTAATGTAATAAATAGATGTTTCGGAATCTCTCGTTAACAATTGAAAAACGTGTAATTATTTTTTGATTTGCATTTATCGTAGACTGTGTTCAGTGTTGCTGTAATGGCAATACATTTTAATTTTAAAAAGAAAAGGACAATGTGTACTCTTGCTGCAGGCCTATAACTAAAATGCCATCAGCTAGCTGCTGGAAGCAGAGAGTGCGTTTTCAACAAGATTATGGTTATTAAAAGTGTAGGTGTGCGCAAGGTCAACGCCTAGGTTTTACGAGGACTAAATGGAAAATTTGGAGGTTGGGCGGTTGCATTGACATTATATGCAAATTGATTTATTTATATAACATTTTACATTTACACACATATCAATCTAGATAAGACATACTTCCATTGTACATTTTTTATTTAAAAAAAAATGGATACTTATCTATTGGTCAAAGGATCCTCATTCCCCCTGCCCCCCTGCAAATCCGTGCTCTAAGTCGTTGCGTTTAGTTTTAGACTATTTTACATGCTTTTTACCACCAAGAAAACTCCGTGAAATATATCAAGGCTTCTTGTGAAAAAAAATGCACGTTTTACATTATGCTTGAGAAATAAAAGTAAAATAGACCAAACAAAAATTGTGATCATATGTTTGATAGATATTGATGTGATGCACAGAAAAAAAAAAAAAACTTATTCTAAATACCATTTTTCCTGCCAAAATAAAAAAACAACCCACACCTTTTTCACACTCTATGCGTGAGTTTTGCAGCAAGCTCTAAATCAGGATAGGTGTTGCTTGTTCATAAATGTCATTTGTGTATTGGTATTTTAATGAGGAGGTTTTAAACTGATAAAGGGGAATAATTCAAATCACTTTCTAGACTGCTTTGAAGTTGAAGTGCAGTGTGTTGAATATTAATTTATCTACTTGCATGTTGAGTATTAAAGTTCTAATTTAATTCCAGTTTCCTATAACCTGCTTAAAATCTGCTGACATTGTGTCTCCAGAAAAATTGGAAGATTCAGAAGGAATGGTGAGCAGCACCAAGACTCTGCAAAGATAATTATCTACAAACAAATATATATTGTTATAGTTTGAATTAACTCTTTAAAGGACCACTATAGTGCCAGGAAAACATACTCGTTTTCCTGGCACTATAGTGCCCTGAGGGTGCCCCCACCCTCAGGGTCCCCCTCCCGCCCGGCTCTGGAAGGGGAAAAGGGGTTAAAACTTACCTTTTTCCAGCGCTGGGCGGGGAGCTCTCCTCCTCCGATCCTCCTCCGTTCCTCCCCGTCGGCTGAATGCGCACGCGCGGCAAGAGCTGCGCGCGCATTCAGCCGGTCACATAGGAAAGCATTTACAATGCTTTCCTATGGACGCTGGCGTGCTCTCACTGTGAAAATCACAGTGAGAAGCACGCAAGCGCCTCTAGTGGCTGTCAATGAGACAGCCACTAGAGGAAATAGGGGAAGGCTTAACCCATTCATAAACATAGCAGTTTCTCTGAAACTGCTATGTTTATGAAAAAATGGGTTAACCCTAGAAGGACCAGGCACCCAGACCACTTCATTAAGCTGAAGTGGTCTGGGTGCCTAGAGTGGTCCTTTAATATAATTCATCTTAAATTTAATGCTTTATCTACATAATGAAAATAAAAACGAAGGGGGGGGGGGGGGGGGAGAGGGCGGACACAGTGTCCCTTTATGGACGTTTCATACAAAAATAGATAAAGTATTTATCTTTAAATGCATTGCAAACAGCTTCTGCATGATGGCTTTCTTAGTGTCACATCCTGTTCCGTTCTGCGCAGATGTCTGGCCTTGGCTTCTGGTATCCAGTACTCTTTTTACAATTCTTGTTTAGTTTTTCTTGTTTTTTTCTGGTTTTCTATTCTATGTCTGGTTTTCTTAATGCTGGGTTTTCTGGCTTAATTCCATTCATGGAATTCCCAGTGGTCTTATTTCCTCTACAAAAAGATAAGTCCTGCGCTCACTCCCATCACTCCTGGGCGGCAGCAATGAGCATAGTACACATCAGCCCCAATATATAGTTAAAAACCAAAGGAAAAAAGTTACCTGCGCTCTCTCCTTAATCCTTATGTATATTTAGACAAATGGAGGTCATTTAGTTACTCCAATGGCCATTGGAGGGAATTCCCGCCTGCCAACGTCAAGGCAGACCCCCCCTAAGCGGGTCCTACACTGACCCTTCACCTTGCTTCCTTGAGCTTCTGGCAAAGATATCTCCACTGAGACAGAGAGGGGTATTTTTTATATACACCCCTATATACTTATTAACCCTTAATAAGGAACACATGGGATGGGCGGCTGCATTTTAACAGCCTTATTTCCTTTCCTCCTTTCTTTGCATGTAAGTACTGTGTGTGTTTTATTGTTGTTTATTTAGTCATGTATATCTAGGCAGTTAGGACCCACCGTAATTGGAGTAC